TTGGTCTCTATTTTGTGCCTTTTTCACTGGGATTTCTTCTTGCATTTGTGGCTACAAATCATCACTATTATCTTGTCATTTGTGGGTGAGATTGAGGAGCAACCGAGATGAATATATTGGTTGTGAGTTTGAGTCATTTAGATTGGTTGTTTGCTTGAGAAGGGTAACGTGAAACTAGTCCGAAAACACCATTTTGATGACCTTTGGAGCAAGCTTCCGTGACAACTTCTCACTATGGGTAGGAGAACATTTATGTCAATCTGTTTGTCTATGTAACTAATCTTGAAATAAATTAGTTAAACTAAAGAAACATAAAGTTTGTGACTATAGGATCACTTTCTATATCCTAAACATGTTATTTGGAGAATTATTTTTACTCTATTTGAAGTAGATTTTGAGGATTTATTTTGTGAAAAGTAATTTATTTTACCAAATGCGTGATTTAAAAAATAGGAAAAAGTTAAAAATCCACGTGTAAAGTTATTTTATTGAAAAAAAATGTGATTGAAAATGAGTTTGAGAAAAAATAAATTTTAAAAAGTCTATACAAAACATGGACTTGATTGGAGCAAAAGATTGAGAATGAAACAAGAAAGGAGGATTCAAGCAAAGTGTACTTAAATTGCACTTGTGTCATTAAATACTTTATTATAAATCAAAAGTAGCTTTTACAAAATCTTGTTCTCTAGCAGAAAAAGGAAAAAGTTGTTGTATATTTTAACCAGATTAAAGAACAAATAAAGTACTAATCTAAGAGAAGAAAACAGATCATTTCTTAATTTTCTTAAGGCTTATCAAGATTCTTAAAAGATCTCATACACATAGGATCGAAGTGTAGTCTTGAATGAGTACTATTTATGATACTATGGATTTTTTTCGACCAATGCCTATTCAACGTGTATGGTATTAACTGAGGGACATATTACCAAACGGTTAACCAATTGTAAAATCAAAATAAAAAATTGTGGAATTGAAATATAATTACCATGCCGTTTAATTGCACACTAAACAATGAATATTCAATGATCAAAAGCACGGCTAATTAATTTAAAATTCGATTACAATGAGATACGTTTACTTAAATGAGGGAGTAATGCTATGTAGTTCCATTGGAGTTGCAATTCAGTCTAAATGGCGCCAATGTGACATTAAATTAAATGACTCATTTAAGTCCACGTTTTATTTATCCTCTCATCTAGCGTCACCTAAATTGGGACTGCAATCCCAATGGAGTTACATAGCATTACTCTAAATGGGGACATACAAATGTAGTGGGAGTTTTACGAAGACTTTGTTGTGTGTTTGACGAAATATAGTGGGACTCTAAATGGGGACATACAAACTTTGTTGTGTGGTTGACGAAGACTCCTAAACTCTTAACTTCGTTCGGTATAAAGATAATTTTGGGCTCTTCCCTTTGAAAATTACGCTCCACTAGCTTAGAAATTATACTTCTAAGACCACTTGTGGCAATTATCTAGATGGACCACATCTAGGTGTCAAATTATACACTATTCTTGGGAAAAAGTAAAGATGAAAATGGTCCACAATATATAATTTTACGAGCAGTACTTGATCAACTTAATTAATATCCAGGGTGTTGCTACTCATAATCTATTGTGATTTGCAAACAAATGTTGTTGTAATGAACAAGTGAAATGAAGATTGGGTAATGTGTTGTTACCATCACCTTGTATAATTACTAGAATTCAATCTCATATGTTACTAGAATTCGATCTAGTCTTCGTTAGTTTAATTCTTTTCCTTTTTTTTTTAGTTTATATGATGGATTTATGTCCCTTCGAAAGCATAGAAACGTGTTCAAACTCTCTTTTCCCTCATTTATGACTTTAAGTGTGCCAGACACCAAAAAAAAAAAAGATATTTAGCACAATTGGTATTAAAACACCAGTTTAGCTGACACTAATATTGCATTAAATAAGAAGTACAATTAAATGTGCCATTTATTTTCAACTTTCACTAAATCTATCACATAACACCACCTAAACTTAAAAGGTTGAACCCCAACTTTGAGGGCCCCCACTGCCACCGCCCCTAAAGCTTCGTGGAGGTGGTGAATCTTGGGATGTGCCTCAGTAGGTCAGGGTACAAGAGCTGCCATACTGGTGCCCACAAAAAGTCCAATTTCATATCTTGTAGGAGGCAGAAATCGAACCCTCACACTGCGGCTGCCAGCTCAATTGAAACTACCTCACTCCTGTCCTTTGCACCACTAAACTATGCCCACTGCCAGCTCAATTGAAACTACCTCACTCCTGGCCTTTGCACCACTAAACTATGCCCCGGGGGGCAACACCACCTAAACTAATGTTATAGTATCAGTGGTGTTAGATAACATTATTTTCAAGTACAAGAGTACACAGATAACACAATTAAATTATATAATCCAAATTGGACCTGCTAAACTTGGCCGTACTTTCGTCCATCTTCACTAAACAATAAACATAACCTTAGTGTGGTCACACGACTGAGACATGAAAAGCCGATTAAATTATTAAAGACGGATAATTAATTGTATAGAAGCTAGCACTAAGCATACGTCATTAGAGCGTGAGAGTTATGTCATCATATACACCACAAACAAGAGCTAGGGTTTTCTCGTGAGCTATATATATAGTTAGTGGGTGTTGAAGCTATCATAAAATCTTTGAATTAAAATAAGACACAACACAAATAGAGCAGAAAAAAAAGGACCTAAAAAAGGTATAGAAATTGGGACCATGGTCAGCCATGCGTGTGACCATTATACAACAAGGGGTCCAACTGCATATAACCTAGGTGGAAAATACAGTGCCAGAGAATGACCTGACTGTCTGTCCATAGATAAATACCTGCACAAGAAGATATTGATTGTAATATCGATTAGACTCGAAAATTTAAAAATTTGATATATCATATACGAAAAAAGTATATCTAAAATTGGAATGAATTGCGACCAACTTGTTAGCTCAATCTCATGTTGTTATTGATACATTTTCTTATCAACGACAATGATTATTTTGACTTGTAGTTTAAATGTGGTCGAACCTTTTACCTTGATTCTCCGACTTTTTCGGACAAGACGTTGTGTCAAATCACTTATTTAAAATAATTTAACCTACGCGTTATAATCAACTCAAATAATTATTTTTGAATACTATTAGTGTTACTAGAGCAATATGTAAAGGTTGCTCGGGGTACTAAAATGTCAAATAGCCAAAGCTTAGGCAACCCTAGCTCTCTCTCTCTCTCTCTCTCAAAAAGAGACGCACAGAAAAAAACAGAGGCACTCATTAATTACAATTATGGTGTTAAAAGGGGTAATAAAAAGTTAACTAGGGTTAATGATAATTTGTTTCGCTTTTTCGAGCCAAGCATCTTAGAAACTGTTTAATTACTCAGACAATGCTCATAAAAATCTTTACGCATCTTTTTTCACTTTTTTAAGAATTTATTCTTTTACCATAAATTCAAACCACCATCCATCAAATGAAACAACTTATAATTAAAAATCAAGAATAAGTGGTTCTCTTTTTCTCTTTGCCAAAGGGGAACAATGTTCGTCATACATGTTCTTATGTTTGTTTGTGTTGTGTGGTTTAACTTCACGTCCTTTATCGAGTACTCTTCAAAAAAAAATGATTCGATTTCAGTGAGATAATTAAGAAAATGAAAACTTAAAAAGTCGAAAAATTGAGGGACACGAAATTAACAAAATGATTACAAGACTTGGAGTGAAATCTTGCATGGAGTTTTTAAGTATCTCGCGTAAAAGGTGCATGCGTCCCAATTCTTGACTTTGTAGTGAAGCAAAAAGTGTGTATATTATTACCTTTATATGCATACACGCATGCATACATACATATAGCA